AAAATAACATAATTTATTTAACAATTCTTCTCCCCCGAGTTACGTCTTCCGCCATTTTAGAGTATCACAACGCATATGCACGCTTTCCCCTAAGCGTAAACAACGCTGATTACGTAGATTATGTTCATGCGCACACTTTCTCGCCCGAATGTAAACAACGCTGATTACGTCGATTACACTCTTGGGTACTCTCCAAAATGGCAGAAGACGTAACTCGGGGGAGAAGAATTGTTAAATAAATGATGTTATTTTTGTTTTCTTTGCGCTCAAAAAGTATTCTCGTAGCTTCGCAAAACTGAAGTTGAGCCACTGATGTCACATGGACTGTTTTACCGATGTCCTTGCTACATTTCTGGACCTGGGAACATTACAGTTGTGTTGCTGTCTATGCAGGGTCTGAGAGCGCTCACATTTCACCAAAATATCTTAATTTGTGTTCCGAAGATGAACGAAGGTCTTATGGGTTTGGAATGACATGAGGGTGAGTAATTAATGACAGCATTTTCATTTTGGGGTGAACTAACCCTTTAATATAGAATGTATGTTCACACTGGTGTTTTCATAGTTTTGTATCAGCTTTGAACACAGCCCATTCAACTAGAATACAGAGAGTGAACAATGGCCTTACGTAAAGGTTTTGGAACGTGTGATGCTCAAAAATAAAGTCACATGATGCTAATAACTTCCCATCTTGTGACCTTTTGTTGCATTAATGTTTTTTGTTTTGTTTTGTTTTTTGTGGCAATATATGTGGGTTTTGAAGCAACTTATGTCAGACTAAAATTACTTTTAACATGATTTTCTTAGGTGATTTAAGGCTGTTCAGGAGCCATTACTCCATTTTTAAGTGTCACATGATCCTTCAAATTTTATTATGCTATAATAATTTTAATATGCTGATTTAGTGCTCAAGAAATGTTTCTTATCATTATAAATGTTGAAAACAGTTGCACTGCTTAATATTTTAGTGTAAACGATAGTTTTCAGGATTCTTTGATAAATACAAAGTTCAAAAGAACAATTCATTTGAAATTATAACATTATGATGATATCTGCTGTTGCTTTTGATCAATTTAATGCATTCTTGCTGAATAAAAGTATTAATTTCTTTTTTTTTAAATTGGTAGTGTATATATTGCACATATATAAAAAGTTCAGTTATGATGACATGTACAGATAACCATAGGTGACACTCTTCAAATGTGAACATCCAGAGGAAATGGGCAGACCAAGACAGCATAAGAAAATGTTACAGGCCTGAGAAACCAGACATCTCACTATAATTATTTTTTCCGCACATCATCAGCAGAAAGTTTGCAACCCTTTCATGGAATGTGGAACAGAAAATGTTTGGTGACAGCAGGTGGAATGTTGCCGGACGAGCTAAACCGCAGTCAAAGGAGTGCCACACAAAGAGACGCAGCTGAGAAGCCGAGCCCACTCTCATGATATCAGCAGCAGACACTCTTCCACTCCCTGCCACACCTGGAGAGCGCATGAAGTCCACCCCTCCCCGTACCCATCACCCATTCATCTTACAGTTTTTCTCAGTCGCTTTGGTGCATTTCTCAAATCATCCTTAATATTTGCAAAGAAGTATGTGCATTTCTCAAAACAATTCGTACAAACAACACCACACAATGGATTACCTGCAAAAGCCTGTAACTTACTCAAAATCTTTAGTTCATCTCTCAAAAGTAAGCATTTATGTCAATGAACATATCAGTGCCATCAGAATGAAAAGTCCTTGTGTCATTGTTCACAAACAAGATAGTCAAAATGCTTAGTCATGTTGTCAATATAACACGGCACTGTTAGTATTACCTGATGTAAACTATGGCAACATTTTGGATGACAGTTACTGAACATTATGCAACATGCTTATGTATGCCATATATCATTTCAAAAGTACAAATTTACACATTACTGTATGTGGGATATTAATTGAAAGAGACTGGATAGAATTCCCAGTTACACTTTTACTAGTGGTCTGACCAAAAAAAAAAACACCTTACTACGTCATTGTGATATAGAATAGGAAAAAGAAATATGGGCACAAAGATGAAAATAATAAATAAGAAAGTCCATTCTCAGAATTTGTATCTCTTGCGTTGTCCTCTGTCTATAAAGAGTTGCATGAATGTACCAAAGCAATCGCAACTTGTTCAAAAGAAAGAGAAACTGGTTTTATGATGTGCACAAGTGACCAGATGATATGGAGGTTGTACAAGTAGTTTGGAGAATTTAATTTCTGATTTGAGAAATGCACCAAAGCGACTGAGAAAAACTGTAACTAGCCCTTTTTAACATTAGCCCCTGTAAGTTTATCACTTACCAAATCTGTGTGTAAGTTAGTTAAATTGCTGATGTGATGATGGCATGCTACCTGTTACAAAGATTCGACCTCAGATTAGACCGATATCTTAAACTTTAAAAAAGGAGGAGTCAGAAAAATGTGAAACATCCTTGCTAACTAACAATACCTATAGTTAGTTTCAAGAAAAGATTTTTCACATTTTTTCAGACCACTGTAACGGGATGTTTAACATGTTCTGTTTGTGGTCTGAGGGACCCTAAGGCCCTTTTAACACCCCTTAAACATAATTCACATTGAAGGCTTAACATATCAGGTTATACTGATGTTGATGATTTTCAAGAATTTTATAAGCTCATTATAAGCTGCTCATTTCAGTCATTATAAGCTTTAAAAGATTCACCTTGACAGTGATCACACATCTTCTATTAAAAATATGGATAACACTTTACAATAAGCTTCAAATTGTTAACATTAGTTAATGCAATGAACAAACTAGCATTTATTAATCTAGGTTAATGGTAATTTATAAACGTGATTACAGACTATATACAACTTGTATTAGTATATGTATAAATAAACATAATCTAGACTAATAAATTCTGTACAGATATGTTAATCTTATTGTAACATTATGTACTCAAGAGACACCAGATTTAAATTTTCACAGGGGGGTCACAATGACACTATCATTACTGTAAATAAAAGCACATATATACTATGTGATACAACAGAATTAAAATCGAAAGTTTCAATAATAGCTGCCAACTGGCTTTTAACACCATATCACATAATAATATCCATCCATCCTTCATTCTTTCCATCCATTTGGCCTATCTTAGCATCTCAGGCAGTAGGAACAAATTAATCTAAGAAAATACTGGCTTAATTTTGAAGTTTTGAAGATATTATTTTTTATAGATAAATCAAGGCTCCAGAATGCCAAAGACGGTCAAATTCAGTCTCAAGAAAACGTGAGGGTTTGAGCAAAGGAGTCACACAACTTCTGATTAGACATTTTCTGGCCAACTTCACAATATAGAATGAAAATCTTTAAGTTGGAAATGCCAGGTGCGAAAAGTGAAAACAAAACACCTGCTACCACCATTCACTTTGCTGATTTTTCACTCATTTTCAGTCGAGAATTAGTAGGCCTATGTTTACATTCATATAGCCCGCCACTTACTGCTGTCAGCAAAACTGGTTATTCAGACGTCTTCAGTGACAGATGTGGAAAACATACAGCCGCCTTCTTGTTTCTGTCACAACAGCATTCATAAAAGGTGACAGAATATGTTAATGTATTCTAAGTAGGCAGGGGTGGAGTAGCCGAGTGACTATGAAAAGCTTGTAAACGCCATAGAAACTGGTTTTAGTCTAACCATCAGCGACAGCCTCAACAAGACAGGTAAGAAAGCTCTCTGCTCAAGGAAATGTACTAACTAGACTGTCTGGAGTTTTGGAGCGCTTCTGGATTTAGGTGGGGCGTTTATCATGATCTTAGAAGAGGGTTAAGTTTAGGAGGTAAAAATTTGCTAAATTTTGATTTTGAATGGTTTGTTGAATTTAATTAGAATGACAAATGTTGAGCGGCTGTTGATTAAGGTAATTTTGATCATGTAATGGCTGATTTGTTTCAAATCAGAAGACAGCACAAGTTAAAACAAAAAACAACAATGATCGACATGTTATGCACTGCGCAGTAACTGTCCTTGTTCACAGATTATGGTATTGTAATACTGTACTCTTTATATAATAAGAAAAAAGTAAAGCAGTTTATGGTAAATTAAATATAACTTACACATTCATTTAACTGACACTTTTAGCCAAAGCGACTTGCATATGATGAATACAATAAGTGAGGCAATGAAATGATAATCGCTAACAATACAGAGTTTCAAACATATTTTCTGGACTAGTACAAGGCAGAACAGATAGGTATTTAAGAAATAGCTGAAGAATAGAAGAAGAGTTCAAATAAGTCAAAATGTTACTAACTTTAAACGAAAGATTTTGAGGCCTTGTTATGATTTGACTGTTACGCTAGCTATGTTATGGCTGAATAGCAGGAGTTAAAATGCGTCATTTAATAAAAAGACAGCGCAGTGAACGCTTTGTTCAAAGGCGACCTGACCGCTGAATGGTGCTTTTTGACTTTGTGTGTTTTAGCAGATGCAGTTAGGCTGTTTGACGTTTCCAGGCCACCTCCTACTGATACACACCTAAACATGACCAAAATAGCTTAACTATACTTTATATCTGCGTTGACATAAATGTATTGGAAATATTTGATATTCTTGTGCCAATCTGATACATTTGGTTAGAGAAGTTCCTGTTCTTGTGAAAATGAAAACAAGATCCCATTTGAGAGTACATCTTAACAGAGATTTGATAAATTATTGCAAATGACAAACTCAGGCTGTTTTATGTCCAAATGATCCCTCATCAGCACAGCTGCTGGAGCAGTTTTTTGGTCTATATGACATATAATATCATATTGCTGTAGAAATTGTCAGTTTAACCGGCTCTTATTTTCCATGAGAAGCATCAGGGTTTGATTATTCGAGTATTAGTAACTCAGTCAGACATGCAGCAGAACAACATTCCTCTTCTGTATTTGGGTGGACGTCTGTATCAATCAGTGCCTGGGCTTGCAACACTGTTGTCTTTTTGTTAACTAAGGCGTTTACCATATCATGAAAATAAATGCCACTTGACTTGTGATATGTTTGCATTTTATTCACTTTGGCAAAACAAGTTTGAGCAACAGGAAGCCGGCAGCTACACATATATTGATGATTATTGAAGAAGAGAAAAATGAGCGTTCAGGTTATTTCACTGAGAAAGTCAGAGTTTACATGGCGTCTGCCCATTTCAGCATCTTTACTGAGAATTTTCTCATGCTTTTTCTTGCCAGTAACAGACAATTCAAGTTACTAATACATAATCACATTTACAGTATATTACAGTATAGTACAGTTTTCGAGTGCCTTGCTCACAATGTGACTTTTTTTTGGTCAAAAAGTTTTTGGGCTTTTAACAGATCCTTTCAGTTGGTAGCACAGATTAAGTCATTTTAGCACATTTTAGCATGTGAGAAATAGATCGTAAAACATCATGTCACAATATTAAGACTTCTATTTTGTCCCAGCAGTTTACACCCAGCCAAAGACAGAATGAGTGCTGACGGAACCGGGGACCCACCTCCGTATGTCATACCAGGTAAGTCAATTAGTAATAGTATCATTGTTCATTTTGAATGACTCATGATAATGGAATAAGACTAAAAACAGGCAAGCCAGTGTGTGTGCAACAAATGTGAAATCCTGAAATAGATATATTTCAGAAACATTAATGTTCTACCTGTATTTTTTTTTCACTTGGCATTAACAGTAGAGGGTGCCAAGGGCTCCAACGTCAAGGTCTACCATGTGCACACTCCATTCACCCCGCCAAGCTCCACTATTGGAGATTCTCGAATCCAGATGGAATCAGCCAGACCTGGTGAGCCTGTTTCCTGTCATTAATCTTTGGAAAACTGTTAGTTGTAAAAGTCATGTGGAAAGAATTACCCATGTTTTTGCTTGATAATGTCTGGATTTTACTGTATACTATATTGGAGCGTTGCTAATGTCATTATATTGCTTTTATACAACATTTAAATGAACCTAATATGTGCAGGGTTTATGGAAGCCTGTTTCCGTCATGGATTAAAAAAAATAAAAAAAAATCTATATATTGACATAAAATCTGACTTTCATTCTTAGAATTGCACGTTTATAACACAATTCAAACTTTTTTTCTCACAGTTCCGAGTTCATATCTTGTACGTTTATGTCTCGCAATTCTGATTTTCCCCCGAGTTTTATTTTGAGTGTACATCTCATATTTCTAACTTTTTTTCTCTGAATTCTGAGTTCGTATCTCGCAATTTTGCCTTTTTTCCCCCTCAGATTTTTTTGGCTTAAATCGCTTTTAAGGGGCACCAAATCTTGTGAATGAAAGGATCTGTCTGGAACAACTGACAATTCTGAGAAACAAATGTCAGATTTGTGAGATGTCGACTTGGAATTGTGAGAAATAAAGTCAGTATTATGAGATAAAACGTCACAATTGCTTCTTTTTTTTTTTTTAAATTCATTCCATGGTGGAACAAACAAACAAATGTACAACACAACATTACTTGCAACTTTGTGACAATCAAGGGTTCCTGTCTAGAATGACCCTCTAGTACCAAAGTTGTACTAAATATAAGATGTATAACAAATCATTGGATGAAATATGATAAAATGACTAAACTTACTAAAACACATTCTTCTCCTGTAGTTCAATCAACGGAAGCCAAAAACAAATTCGTCAGCTACGAATCATATGAGCTGGGTCGCAAACCAGGAATGGCCACATGCACAAGCTGCCAACAGCAGGTCTTAACCAATGTCACCTACAAAGTGGGAGTTTACGCCTGGTTGATGTGCTTGCTCTTCATCCTGTGCGGGTATGAGTCCATTTGAATTTGCAGCTAAAAATATCAAATCTTGTGTACATTATCAAAGCCAAACTGTCTGTCTTCCTCATTTCCAGGTTTGTTTTATGCTGCTGTCTGATTCCGTTCTTCATGAAGTTTTTCAAAGACGTCTATCACACATGCCCGAAATGCAGTAAGATCCTGCACATTGAAAAGAAGCAATGCTGCTAACCCCATCCCATCCCTTCACCAATTTTAACACCACTCATGGATTTGTGTGGCACCTTACACTATATGAAGGACTGGAGGACACTTTCAGGCCAATACAGATGTCATCTAGTATAAACTAAAGCTTTGCGATCTTTGAGAACCTTTTGGTGTTCATCTGGCTTAGGCTTCGTTGATTACATAATACATTACATTATTACATTATCAAATGAATATGAATAGTCTACGCATTGTTTTGATTGTATATCTATAAAGGACTCATGGTTAAGGGTTCAGAGGGCTGAGAAGTTTGTGGAACCATAAATTACGTGATGTAAATAGCAGTAATTTGGGCATCAACCGCACCATTTAAAACCGTTGTTCTCAACCAAGGGGCCTCAGAAAACTTCAAATGGGCTTCAAGATGACTTAAAATTAAGTAAATTAAGCCAATGCAATAATTGAAACGAGTTAAAACAACTAAAAAGCAAGATATTTCTTTTAACTTTTCTCCAACAACTTTTTTTTTTCTTTGAAGTATTGGTATTGATGGTTTCATGAAGAGCCTTTAACATCCATGGAAACCTTCCATTGGATAAAATGTTCTTTAGATTATTAAAATGAGAAAATGAAAGTGTTTAAATGAAAGGTTATTTGGGGAACCAAAATGGTTCTTCCAGGGCATCGACATGCACCCACCTGGAACTTTTTAAATAATAATTAAAAAAAAGCACTGTCTAGAAAAGCCAGGATATATGAGGTATCTTCATTCGAAGGTGTAATGTCTAGAGCTTAAAATGTCGTGTAAATTAATATTAAACTCCATAAGCAATTTATAAAGGATAGACATTTTTATAGTTATGTCAAGCTCGAATATATTTTATCAGGTACCTGTAGAAACGTTTAAAAAAAAAATCCTTATCTTGTATATATTACAAACTGGAAAAAAAAAAAAGTCACGGGGTCTTTGAATACTGTTGTGTGCAACGGGAGTCAAAAAGGTTGAGAACAAACAATTGAGAACCCACAATATCTCTTAAATAAAACAACGGAAATCATACTTCTAAAATTCACTTTTTGAATTACCATACTGCTAAAGCCGACTTGTTATTGTTTAGCAATTTATCACTTCTGTAAAAAGTCTGAATCTTTTATAATGTTAAATGTCACATGTTCATCTAAATGGAACGGTCTTAAATGTAATAATATAAAACTGAAATGTGTCTGTGCAATACCTCAATGAGAACTCTGCATGTGCCGTTTATACACACTGAAATCTTCACATTACGTGACACTAGTACAGCATGACAATCTGAACACCATGTTGAGTCAATTCTTCAAGGGCCATGGCTGTAGCTTTTATAGAAAATTTTATTCAACATACATTTTCCAGCAAAAAGGCAATATACAGGAAGAGTTGTCGTACACTGCTGCTACACGGAGGAATTAGACTGGAGAGAGAAAAAAATCTAAAAAGAAATATGTGATCTGCAGGTTTTCTTTGTACTGCACTTAAACGAGACAAACTGCTGCACTTAGTTAAGGAAAAAAATAAAGACCAAATGAAACTGTCAGGATCCAAAAGAAAACTACACACAATGAATATGAACATCTGAATTGATCTGTACCCAACAAATCGGTGCTTTTAATTTTACGTTCATTCTTTAAATATACAATTTTAATTGTTTTTACAAAGCCAACTATGCACTAGGGAGCATTCCTTCTGTGCTTAAAGAGAAAAAATGGTATTGGTTCATTAATGCTGGTTTCTCTAAGTCCCAAACCAGTCTTGTATACGTCTGCAACCTCGTGCCAACAAACAGTACAACGAATCTGGAGAGGTCAGCAAGCGACCCCTCCCTCCCCATCAGAATAATCCCATAGCCGGTGACAGAGGAGCTAAAGACTGAAGATAACCAAAAAAAAAAAAAACCTTTATGGGGAGAGGGGAAAGGGGCAGAAACCCAAAGGGATATGCAAATCAAACTCCAACCAAGATTACATTTAACAGTGCTGAGAAATGTAAAACCTTGGATATTAAGTGCCAACGTGCAAGATGAAGTACAGACAATTTATTTAATTTTCATTTATTTTAAAACGGATGCTGTGGCTCTTTACTTTATACAGGATTTCCAGAGAAGACAAACTGAATTTCTCCAACTAAACTAAGTGAGAAAGAAGAATCGTGTAAACATGAAAATTGACTAGTTGCAGTAAGGGACCAGAAAAGAGACAACCATGTCAGGGCAACTAGCAAAAGCCTCAGCCATTTGCGGTGAATTTTTTTGTTGAAGGATGGAGGAATCCTTTCAAATCTTCTGCAAATGACAAAACTCCTCTTTCCATCGCCTCCACCTCACAATGCAGCAGCTTTCTTGCCGTAACAATAATAAAAAAAAAAACTAACTTAAAAAGAAAAAAGAAAAACAAACAAATAAAAAAACAACAATAAAAATCAAAACAAAAGTCTAGGACATACTGTTCCCCCTTTCTTGTTAAAATCAAATTCATTCTTCCAGACAAATAGGCAGTCAACAGTTAGAGAAGCCAAATCGAACAGCCTCAAAAAGGAAAACAGGAGCATCAGCAGTCACTCCATTAGCTGAAGACTTCATACATGGTGACTGTGTACCCAGACAGCAGGTGTTAAAAGTGGTGCACACAAGAGGTTTGGTTAAAGTCTTTAGTATGGTCGGTTAGAGTGGGGGCTTGTCAGTTGTGAATCTTGATCGCTTTTTCCAGATACGTGTAGCGACCTCTCTTTGGAGCTTTGTTGAAGTGGTCGAGCCCTAACCAAGGCCTCGGGTGCGACATGTTCCCTGAGAAAGCACAGCATACAGCCAAGTTGGCAGAAACGTGAACACAATGTCTACTGATTGAGACTACAGAGGTCAAAGGAGCGTAACATACCTGGCTGTGGCTCAAAGTCTTTCAGATTCACCTCGTAGTCTTCCTCATTGATATACTGATGCCGGCCCATCATCACTATTGCAAACTTGAACTAAAAGAAAATGGAAAACATTTTATGAATGATCATCTGGGTGGAACTAAACTTAATCTGGACTACGATCTGCTAATTAGTGAGCAATGGTCATTTTAATTTTATGGATTCATTTAATTTGACCTCAAATATTGACTGAATTTGAAAATAATGTACACACATTGACTTCTCTATTTACTAATGTTTATATATATATATATATATATATATATATATAGGGGAGTAACGGTTCACAAAATTCATGGTTCGGTTTGATACTACACAGTGGTGTCACGGTTCGGTACATTCGGTACAGGGGTAATTGGTTACGTCGCAATGTTGGAAAGATTTCTGTTTTAAACCATGAAGGCGAGCCAATGGATATCACACAAGCAACGTGCAAACTTTGTGCAAAAGTTATGCCGGTGAACGTCTTAATCTTAGTCAATTCACTATATGCAGAAAGTGAAAGTAAAAACGGAATGACGGAGTAATGAAGGAGCTTTCGGCATCTGATGCCACAAATTCTCTCAGAGAGAACGAGAGACGAATCTACTTCAACAAATGCTAATAACGGTATATAGCTAACTGTTATTTATTCCCTTAACATTCCTCTTGTGGCCCGTACAAAGAGAAAAAAAAGAAGACTAGAAACGTATTGTGTTAAACAGGTTTTTTTTTTTTTAAGCTGGCGTTTGAAATGGGCTAAAGCTTTTTATTCATGGATTTTTATTGATGACGGCAGAGTTAATATTTTAATTATAGGCCTATAATTCATTGTTTTAAAAAAAAAAAAGTCTTTTAGAGCAGGTATATATGCACATTTTAATTGAAGAGTAAATAGCCTAATCTTTTGTTATCCTCGCAGCATGTCAGTTATGCTGATATATTGCTGGGCAAATTAATTGTCATTTTAATTTAATAATAAAAGTAAATCCACAATAATAATAGGTCTAATAAAAATAAGAATGTAACAGGCCTACATTAATTGGAAATGCCAAATCCTCTTAATATTGTCAATAATTGATATTTTTGACAATATTTCTGGCTATCGTCGATACAAGTTCATCATCTTTCGACGCAACTCAGCACAGGGAGGTTATCATGGGTCTGTCCGCTATGCCACTGTTTGCCTGTTACGTCATTTGGGCTTCATTGTTGAGCATAGTGGCACTGAGAACAATATATTTCACACACTTTAAGCTCTTTTATTTTCCATATGCAATAGGATTAGTTCAACGAATCGTTTGGTTTGTAATGCGTACCGAACGGTTCAATACAAATATGTGTATCGTGACACCCCTAATATATATATATATATATATATATA